TCAATCAGTGCTTTTTAACCACGGAAAGAGATTAATAAAACAGCAGGAAAACAATTATGTCACAGAACGTTACAATTACCTCAGGAAAGCTATTTAATGACCATAGCACATAGTTGAGTTGAAAAATAGCTATAGAAAATAGTATTTTGCTAAATATGTGCAGTATATTACATGTTTATTATATTTTTACTTGTGTCATTAAATAATTGTTATTATAATGAAAACTGCATTATATATATCCTAATTTGTTTAAAGGGCACCTATTATGGAAAATTCACTTTTACATGGTGTTTGAACATAAATGTGTGTTGGCAGTGTGTGAGCAAAACCACCCTAGAATGATAAAAATCCACCCAGTGGTTTTTTTACAATCTCAATAAATCATGTGCACTGTGTCAGAACGAGCTGTTCTGAGATTCAGCTCTTAGTGACGTAGAGCGGGAGACAGGGGGTTGATTGACAGTGTGGCTGTGGCCTAGACCCCGCCCTCGGTGATCTGTACACATCATCCTCCATTGTTTCAACGACAGCCGGTAATGTCTCTTGGAAACATAATTTAAGTGTTCTGTCGTGGACTCGTGGGTTAATCCTGTTGTTGTAGCTTAAAAGTTAATCCTCAACTGTGGATCGTCATCTACTGTTTGCGATCCACCGTCACATCCAGTAACAGTAAGTGTATTTTATGATTTTTGAGCAAATAGTCTTTTCAGTCGATGTCAGCCAATTCAACAACAAATGCGTCTAAAGTTGTTGTTGTCGTAGGATGTCTGTGTAGGCTATATAATTTAAACATTGTTTGTATAGTGTGTAACCACACGTTTATATATATTTAAAGATATTGTATTAAAAACAGCATATATGTTGTGTTCTGTATGTTAGCCATCTTCTCACATTTGCCACAGAAGCACCTGTATGACAAGTAAACATGACGCCACAGGTCCCTCGCATAAATGTAATTTCGCTTGTACGTAAGCGAACTTTATCACAGAATGTGTATGTAGTTTCAAAAAATTGCGCCAGCTTCAGTGTTTGTGTGTGTCTGTGTGTGTGTGTTGCACATCCGGACGCGATTACAACTCTAAAGTACATAAATGTATCAAATAACCATACCGAGACGTGCTGGTCCATTCCAGAGTATGTGAGCGGAGTGGAGTGGGAGCGGAGCGAGGAGTGGAGCGGCATGATTTTGAATGGAGCACGGAGCGGATTTTTTAAAAGTCGGAGCGTCGTGGTTTTCACTCGCTCCGAGCGCGCTCCGCTACCGCTCTATCACGAGGACAATTCATGCCAACGGCTCATTATAGAACTGCATTTTTAGTAAGGATTCACGTGTTAAACACATTACTCTAGCATGATACAGATGGATCTCTCAAATCAGAAAAAAATGTGAAGGTTATGATGACGCCGATGGACATGAGTGGCTGCGGGAGGATATAGTTATCAAGCCTGTACAGAATATGATCGGGCACCACAATCTCATGAAAGTGCGAATCTATAGCACACATTTTATTTCTCGTGCCTATTATATGCCAAAAAAATTGTTTGTGCGTGCAAATGAAGCACACTAAACCCCTTGGTTAGGATGGGTGTGAAGTGCGTTCTTGCCATTAAGTGCGTATCGTAGGATATGCACACGAGAAATAAAATATGTGCTATATAGCCTACGCACTTTCATGAGATCGGGCTGGATCGGGTGAAAGCACATTTTAAACCGGTAACACTTATTCACCAACGCAATCGCTTTCTCACTAATGCATTGCATTCAAACAAATGTAATCATACAGTCGGCTATCTGTCAGTATTTGATTTTAAATGAGCATGAATCTGTGAGAAATGTAGCGACCCGTAAATAAATAACTGATGAAAACGTAGTTATTTTCTTCTTTCCAAACAAAATGTGCTCTGCAAAAAGCAGCAATGATATTTAATTTATAATCAGTCCCTCCAGGATTTCACGATTTTTTTGCGATCAAAATGACTGATTTTGTGGTGGTAATTTCCAAAAATTTGTGAAAAATGTGCGATTTATTTATAACATTTACCATAATAGTATTCAGTCCTTCCAGAAAAAGAGTTTTTTTGTGATTGTTGCGGGCAAAAATTGATTGATTACGCGGCCCGTTTTCTTTAAAAATGCGATGGAATATGCAGGATATTTATGCAATTTTATGCGATGAAATTGCAGGAATTTGCAAAAATTAAGGGAACTTGCAAAAATTGCGGTTTGATGAAAAAGAGAAAAAAAGTGGTTCCCCCAACACCCTGTTCTCACTAGGCTAATGTAAGAGTCATTTCTTATTACTTTCTTTGATAAGCAAGCATACTACATCATAGAAAGTGCTGGGAATATTTAATTTCTCATCTTGTTTTATTTCAGACTGTAACGAGTGTAAATAATGTGTGGCCCCTTTAAGAGCCGCGCACTCCCTGTTGAACCCTGATGTGCGCCTCAAACCCCCCATGTGTGCGGGTAATTTCTGTTTGATGCTACTTCTTTTATCTTATGTTGTTTATTAAGTAACGATGTGACGGTAGAACGTGTGACAGACAGTTATACGAGTTCGATTTGTGAGATGTCAATCGCCTCCGTGAGTCTGTCTGACGTCGCGTAATTGCGTCACTTCATAACGTTCCCATGGAAACAAAGGGAAATGGCTGCTCTTGTGTGAAGCAAACGCAACATTTTTCAACTTTCTGCTAAGATACATGTTACTTTTTTGCAACGAAAATGCGAGGATTATGAAATTATGCAAACCCTGCATATTTTGCACGGAAATCGGCAATTTATGCGGCGAAAGTGCGGCGTATTTGAAAAAAATGCGGCCCCCGCATAAATATGCGGACTTTGGCTGATTTTGCATTGAATTCAGCGATCGCATAATCGCGTTTTTCTGGAGGGACTGTATAATGCTGATAACCTGTAATAAGCATAGCATGTCATAGGAAAAGTTTGCACACTATCCAAATCCAATAAACAACATTGCAACTATTCTCCTAACGTTGTTTTTTTATTATTATTTTTATTTAATATGCCTATGTACCTACCTATTATGATGAGACATTTTGTGAGATTTTAAAGCATACTTAAATACTTTATTCGGAATTTCCTTGGGGAGCGAACACAGAGCGGTGTTTCTGATATCAGTGAGCGAGGAGTGGAGCGGGAGCGGTAAATGGTGAACCTGGAGCGGAGCTGGAGCGGAGTGATTATATAATGCTTGGAGCGTGGAGGGGAAATTGTTGCCGCTCCACTCCGCTCACATACTCTGGTCCATTCTCATTTGTGTTTATTCTGCCGGAGTCTCTTCGTACTATTTATATATTCTGATTCAAACGCACGCTGAATGACATTCAAAAAAACAGCAGTTTCTTTCTCTCACTCTCTCAGTACCGACTGCCATAGGTATCAAGTTACGCCCTCATCCAAAGGCAGGGCGGGGATATGCAGCTCATTTGCATTTAAGGTGGTATAGTCCCCGAAACAGCTCATTTTTAAGCAGGCCCCAAAATGACATTTTCAAATGGTTATAATAAATTAACTGTGGGGTATTTTGAGCAGAAACTTCACAAATACATTCTGGGGACACCAGAGACCAATATTACATCTTGTAGAAAGGGGCATAATAGGTGCCCTTTAAGGAGTTATGAAATGAAGAAAAGGAGTCAATACCTTTAATATGAATTATGAGCGTCAGCTGGTCCATAAAAAAAAAAACCCTGTGCTGTCGTCATGACAGCGATTCACAAAACAACGTCCCTTGGGCTTTAGCTCAAAAATGTGCAGACTTGGAGAAATATTAATAGATTCACATCATATTTCTATAGACAGGAATAATATTTATTGAATTTATACTAAAAAGCGCTTCTTCCTGAGATGTGCTGTGTTTTCAATTCATACCAATAGCCTGAGGGCGCTGTCTGCACAGAACATTCCATAAATGGAACATGAAAAAGAGCCATAACCATGTGACATTCCAGGAACTGCCTCATGTACTGCCTGACGTAAACACAGCCTAACAGAGATCGCTGTAACATGCAGATAAAGATGTTTTGAAGACAATAAACATGATTGCAATGATATTTGAGTTACCTTTGTTCTTCAAGCAATGCCAGGTATTTTCATAATAATAGATTATATTTATAATGTAATGCTAATCGATATAGATTTTTTCATTGTGCACAATACAATGAATAATATATTTTCTGTCTGATTTTTTATCTGAAGCCAAATTAGATCACAGAAGATTATTTAAAACACTCGACTTACGTTATAAAGTAAGTTTGGAGCACAAATATGGTTTTAATCTCATAAATTGTTGTGTACTGATTGTGTGCTAAGCTAACATGCTAGCTCGCCCAGTTGCACCCGTCACCAGAAGTTATTCTTTGATTTTATGATTCTATGATTTATTTTTTTTCTAAATAGGAATGCTTACTGAAATTTTTCAGTGCATTTGATAGTTTCAAATGTGAAGCACATTGATAAAAGAAATCAGGGTTTGAAACCCTATGAATATAGCCAGTTGTTAGTAGCTATAATGCAGACAAAGAAAATTCATATTTGTTAAAAGTCCGTGCCCTTACGTAGACTATGTTACCCATAATGCATGCGTTCATTGTAGTTCCGATCGCTCGCGGTTGCACGAGCCGCTTTCACTTTTGGTGCGGTCTAGTTATGAGAAGCAGCATCCTCAGAGCAGAAAACTGACATCCTTAGTTAATCCTTTGCTAATATTGTGTGTAAGAGTGCTGTGTGCGTCCTTGAGATGTAAGTACGGCGTTTTGCATAAATTATGTTTAATACAGAGTTATTACCTCAGATGAGGAGATTGTTTATCGTGTAACTCAATACTACTATACTGTTTCTTGTTCTAAATCGCTCTGCATTCCCTCATATAGTAGTCATTTACTGTGTATACTTTAATTATTGCTTTGCAAATAACCCCAAATATTATATTTAATGCATAGATTGCCTGTTTTTTGGCATTTTTCGCTGTGTGGAAATTTGTGGTAATTATGCAAGTTCATTTATAGTGTTAGAGCTCCCTCTAGAGGATTTTGGTTGTACTACGGTCCATTTCTTTATGCAACTGCATGAAACCATCCTACATGTTTGTTAATATACACTTTATTGTATTTTCTGTTTCAGATAACCACACACTCACACATACACACATCGACACATATTGTGTCATATTGATATCTGCAAACTCTTATCCTCCATGTACCTTATTCCTCAATAAATATGTAAACTGCACCATTGGATTTGCCTATTCCTTCTGACCTAGGAAGACTCAGTTGACGAGCAATCTATAATCAGCTGCAGACGCACACGGTCTCTCACAAGTGGTCCTTCGAGCCGGATGTTTATTGGCTGAGTCAACAAGATGGCAACTCCACAAGATGAAGTTCCTCAGGAGAAGATTCCAAAGCATAGTTCCCGTCCAAGAAGGAGCAGAAAGCTTCCGGGACATCTGGCGGAGTATGAGAACGACCTAGCTGATCCAGAGGATACAGAGTCTTCAAGTAGTAGCAGTTCAGAGGAATCTGATAAGGAGAACAAGATGAAAAAATGGAAGAGAATGGAGGCAGTTTTGGGCAGTGTACTGAAAACGATGAATGAGATGCAAATCACAATGAAGGAAACCAGTGGTGCATTAACCAAGCGTGTGGAACAACTGGAGCGAGCGTGTAAATCATGCAGTCCTCTCCCTACTCAGAGTAATGCTCAACAGCAAGATAGAGCCGCTTCACTTCCTGCTCTACTCCAAACACCACAGCACAGCAGTGTGGGCATGAGCAGCATACATACTACTGATCAGCTACACGTACTGACACCATCAGAAAGGCAGGACACTGGAACACCTGTGAACCTCTTAAGACCAGTAGAACCTATTGCATCTTCACCGTGGCAAAATTCAAACCCCATTCATCCAGCACCAAAGTCAGCTCCACTACCATTAAGCCCCATCATTCAGCCTGTTTCAAATAATCAGCCAGTGCCGCTATCACCGAATTCTGTAGCTCAACCAGCACAGCAGCCAGCCGCAGTGCTAATACCTCAACCTGTGCTTCAGCAACCGACAGTGACACAGCCTGTACTGCAGCCCAGAGTGTATACTGCATTCCAGCCTGCAAGTCAGTCTCCATCTTGGCCTGCGCCACAGCCTGCTCCCCAGCTGAGAATCCCTGTGGCCCATCCAGGTATTCAACCGGCACCGCTATCTGCTCCACCCCCCAGAATGAGTCATGTGATTCAGCCTACTCTACAACCTGTCAACCAAGTAGCCCAATCAGTACAGTTTGGGAGGTTTGAACCACGTCAAGCTGAGCCCTTATTCAGTCAGAGGTACCAACACTCACAGCCTCTAAGCAGCTCCGCTCAGGTACTCTCTGCACAATCCCATGACTTCTCTGCAGTCTCAGCGTCACTGTATCAGCCACCACCAGGGATATCAGCGTCGCAAAATTATAGCCAGCTGTATGCTGCTCCACCTCCTGATTCAGCCTATCCATCAGTCTCTACCTACCCTTCACTGCCTGCTGCGTTTACTGCACAAGACACAGTATCTCCTGCAGCTGAAATCATCCAGCCAAACCTGATGGAGATGCTCCTAGCATCTTCATACGGCATCCCGAAGCCTAAACTGGTGACATTCAAATCAGGCAGAGATAGTGATTTTCTATTACTTTCTATTACAAATGCTCATCTCACAGAGGAGTATAAATATCACATTCTGATAGATCAGTTAGAGCATCTATGTGCGTTACAAGTGGCCAGACGCTATATTCACGACCGCACTCCCTACACTAGTGCAATGAAAGCTTTGGAGCAGAGATATGGGAAACCCAGGCAATTAGTCCAGAGTGAACTGAGTGCTATACTTAACTGCTCTCCTATTAAGGCAGGTGAACCTCAAGCCTTTGAAGATTTCTCCCTGGCGGTGTATTAAAAAAAAAAAAAAAAAAAAAAAAAAAAAAAAAAAAAAAAGAATCGCATGCGTTGACGTTGACAGCACTTGTCATACATTGCTGACAGAAAATATTAAAGTTTGAAGTGGACTCGTTTTCATGGTAGGCTACACAGATTTTTTTTAGTAAGCTACACAGAATGCTCTACATTTAATAGCTAATTTCCTAAACCAACCAACTCACATCTCCTTTTTTTCTTTTCATCCATTATGACATTAGTCACCTGGTGTTATTTCTAGCATTTCATCACTGACTGTGTCGCAATCTTTTTTTACAGTCGATGGTCGCAACCGCTATAACTTTGTTACCTGCTCATTACCTACAGTGAGCTTTCAGTGAGCTATTTTACACAGGCTCGGACCTGCTCCTCCGTGGCGATGACAGTGTGCGGTTAAAAATCACAACAAACGAATTTGAAAGTGGGGGGGACATGTCCGCATAGGAAATTACACCCGTAAGTAAGACATCATCCCGGGCTTTATGAACTTGCGCTGGTTTAAACCGACGACACTTTCGTGAAGTATGGATCTCAATCACACGTTGTTGTTTGCTAGGACCTGCCCCGCTCTGCTTCTGATAGGCTTGTAACGTGTTAGAGCTGCGTTCCTCTCATATGATTTGTAGGTGAAATCAATTGACTCGAAAATATTAAACCGCATGCAAGTTTACACATTTTTTTCCCCTCACGCTCGTACGCCGGAGATCCAGCACGGTGCCGGAGTACTTTCAGCCCTGATTACATTATGGAAAATAATTAACTTTATCACAATATGCAAATTTTTTGTGAAGGACCCGTATATAGTCTCTTAATATATATTAACTACAGCATATACATCATTATATACTATACATAAACTATAAACAAATAGTTTGTAAATGATTTATAAGCGCTGTGTTACTGTATACTTGTGATAAAGTGTCACCGTTATCTCAAACTGGTCGCATTAAGTGTAATTGTTCCGTTTGTATGTGATGGAGTGATTCTTCTTTCTCAAAAATAACACAAAATAAACAAAGTAAAGATGAATTTGACTGATACCATTATTATTATTAAGATTTCTATAGTTGGTGATATATTGTTATGTGTTATTTTGGCCTTGATAATCAGTGATAGTGATAAATCTGATATGGTGTCAGTCCTGGTTCAGGTGAAACACACACCACTTCCCTCTTTTAAAAAGGAAATGCTCACGCTTTTGCAAGGGTCTGTTTGCTCAAGCATTACAAGGCAAGTTGATTTACAGCAAACATTTGTGCTGTAAAAACCCTCTTCACTGTATCCTGCATCTGTTGTCTGGTTTGTAGTTCGTCCGGTTTATTTAACTGTTGGTTTTACTGTGTTTTGTGGGATAATAATATAGTGAGATGTAAATGTTCCTCTTCAGGGAGACTCCTCACCGCTGTCTTCTACCGCCGGCAGGATCTGACGGTTCAAGCAGGAATCTGTCGCTGAACCACCGGATGGGGCTTACGCCGTGTCCTAACTACTCGCCACACGCGATAAAAGGTTTCTTTTCCATGTTAATCACAGTTTTTGTCCTAACCAGCCGCGACGGCGACAAGCGGTGATTATATTTTAGAAACGGTTTCTATTTTTCTGCGAAGTCGGGCTGGAACAACAAACACAAAGTGTGGCGATGATAATCTCAGGTACTGTTTATGTGCTTTATTTAATGTTAAAAGTGTGTAATGTGACTCTGAATATCATTTAGTGCTCCAGATTTGTAGCTGTAAAAGCAACAATGGAGAATTCACCTCAGATCTTGAAATTAAACAAATGGAAACAAGAATGTTCAAACTGAGAACAAACTAGTGTATTATTTGACAAAGATTGTTTTAGTAAGTCAGTAGTCTATGTATTTGAATAATGTTTAAATGGTGTCATATTTGTGAATTTGATTATGTAGCTAATTTTCATTATGTAGCTAATTTTCATTTTCTCGAGAGTGCCGTCAGGGTTACTCTCTGATGCTGTGCACTTGCCGTGAGACTCCACCCACACGCTGTTCTGATTGGCTGTGGGTTTTGATTGATTTTGACGCATCTCGCAGTCGTGTCGTGTCTAGTGTGGACAGACAAATGATTTTTCGATGGAATCTTATCGTATTGTGTCTGGTTAGGACACGGTCTTACGCCAAACATGTATTGTATACACTATCTACATATTAATCCTTATTCACTCAGAGTCTTTATGGTAGAGATGATCTTACCACAGTTTCTCCAGTTTACAGTGAGGATTCGCCAGTACATCAGAAAGCTGCTTCACTCCTGAGTCTCCTATTTTATTCTCAGTCAGATTCAGTTCTCTCAGGTGTGAGGGGTTTGATCTCAGAGCTGAAGCCAGAGCAACACAACCTTCATCTGTGACTCCACACTGCATCAACCTGTAGAGAACAATGACACACATTAAGCCTATATCCAGAGATAAACACAACACTTACACTATAAATAACATAGGCAAGGCAAGTTTATTTCTATAGCACATTTCATACACTATGGCAGTTCAAAGTGCTTTACATAGAGAGGAAATAATTCAGGAAAATTAATTAAGGAAAATTCAAACAGTAATTCAAAAGCTTTACATAGAAAGGAATTCTAATAATCACACTATAGCTATAAAAAAAAAAACATTATTTCTATGGAAAATCCCCATAAAAATGGAAACCCAACAATGTGTGTGTGTGTGTGTGTGCGTGTGTGATTAAGTGTGTGTGAGATTAAGTGTCTGTGTATGTGTGTGTTTAGTAACGCTACAATAAGATACCATTCATCAACATTACTTAATTCACATCAACACATTGAGTGAACAATATATTTTTACAACATTAATTAATGTTTGTAAATGTTGTTTAATACAAACACTTGATTGTTCATGTTTGTTCACTTTCATTGTGCATTAAATAAATGTTAACGGATTAAAACTTTACAAACAACTTTAAAAATGTGTTAGTGTATACTATTGTTTATTTTTAGGTCATTTTATCTAATCTTTTTCTAAAGTGTTTATAATACAAATGTAGTTTCCATACTTGTAACCGTGATAAACACTTAAATATATGTAAATTTAAACTAAGCTTTGGTACCGAAATTGGTACAGAGAACCGTGAATTTTTACTGGTATTGGTACCGAATACTGAAATTTTGGTACCGTGACAACACTAGTGGAAACAACTTAAAATACTCTTTCATTTCTGGTCATACAGAAAATAATAATACATTATTCGCAAATACATTTATTTGCGTAAACTCACAATAACAAGAAAACGTTGTGCTTTAACAAACAGGCGCGCTTCATGATCTCCGTGAACTGAAGCGCGAGAACTGAAACAGCCGCATACGAATTTGTTCGTTTTAAATTGGACATTTTGTCCAATTTAAAACGAACAAATTCGAACCAAAAGCCAATATCTTCTGACTATGTAATTATGTAGCTTAGCTAATTATGTATTTCTCTCTAAAGGTGCATCCGGGGATGGAGATTTGTTTTTAGGAGAAACTGATTTAGAAAACAATAGTTTATTAATAAACAATTAATGCCTCGTTATTTTATATTATTTTATTATCAGACACATTTATTATATCTTATAAATCATCTATAAATCCCCTTTCTGTAGGCTGTGGTTACGGCTCTTCTCATTCAGCACTGCGGGGGAAATATAATTTCCAGGTTCTAATTTGGCCTAAAATCTTTTTTTTTTCCATAGCCTATTCATTTGTCAAATATTTTAAATGTTTAAAGGGGCAAAAAAAATCAAACAAATATCTGAAAATTCGTCGATATATAGCCTATATGTTTTTGCGCAGCATTTGACCTAGTCCTACAGTTCAAATGAACATTTTGGTGTTAAACTCAGCGTTTTACAAAATACAACAACCGTTCATTTTCGTTTTGCAATTAGGCCTACGGATTAAATAAGGGGAAACGAATTAACACAACAGTACACTGACCGTTTGGACATATACGAGGCAGAGTTCTTTTTTAAAATTCATAAAGGCTACAAGGAATAGCCTACTAGACAAAACCTCAAAGAAATGCCACAATCAAGACCTCGGAGCAGAAATGAAGGAGAAACACACAGAAACTCTGTGACTTTCCCTGCCATTAATGCTTGGATGACACACCACGTCTCCTTCCATTAATAATAATAATGTCTAGTGCGGTGGGTGTGATATACCAACGTCCGTTGCCATTATTTTTGGAATGGCTTATCGCGAAAGGAAAAAAAATGTTTTAGTCGGTTAATAGAAACGCTGTCATTTCACAATATTTTTTTATCGACAATCAGTAAAAAAACGCAAAAGTTTTGTGCAAATATGTATTGACGCCACTTAACCGAGCAAAAAGGTTTCACCCGGTTATGCAATTTTAACCGTTTACTGCTAATCGGTTAACCGGTTAACCATGGACACCCCTACTGCAAACTGGAGCGAAGCAGAGACTCACTATCCGTACTGAAGCTGAGATCGTTCACCAGTGCGTGTACGGTATGCGCGTTTACATGTTTTCGACGCGTCCGTTATACGTCTCATCCTGACGTCATGTGTCTTCCCGGGATTTTTACGGGTTGTGTGTGAACACACACACAGATCCCGGCAAATCACTGGCAGTGTGAGTGAACCGAAATCAGACAATTCCGGGACAAATGCTGGGTCACATTATCCGTGTATTTTCTGGAATCTCTGTGTGAAAGAGGCTTTTTGCTGCAGTTATTTGATAAAAAACAAAAACAGTAATATTGTGAAATATTATTCCAATGTAAAACAGCTCTTTTCTATGTGAATGTAGAGTAAAGTGTGACTTCATCAAAGAATCCTGAAAAACAATTGTACACGACTGTTTTTAACATTGATAATAATAATTAGAGTACTGCTTTTAGAGCATCAAAATATAATTAAAAATTCAATATAATAATGATTTATGAAGGATCATGTGACACTGATTACTGGAGTAATGATGATGAAATTCAGATTATATTTTTAAATATATTAAAATAGGTAACAGTTATTTTAAATGGTCATGTTGTTTAATAACATTATTGGGTTTTTTTTCTTGTATTTTTAATCAAATAAATACAGCATTGGTGAGCAAAAGAGACTTTTGAAAGGCAGTGTGTGATTTGATTGACGAACCGAACGCACAGTATATAGGCCTATGTGATCCAAAGTTCATTGGATACTTTTTTATTCTTACTCAAGTAACTTTCAAGATTATTACTTTTACTTTGAGTAAAATATTTCTATAAGTACTTGTACTTTTACTTCAGTACAGTTTTTGGATAATCTACCCAACTCTGCAGAGCTGATCAGCACAACTCGTCAAAACTCTCCCACTGACTTTATCAAGCCCAGGGCTTTTATTTTTTTGGGTGGTTTGTAAAATCCTCAAAACAGAGGCTTTATCAATGTGCAGATATTCCTCTGTTTTCAAACTAAAATAAAAATCCCTACTAATTTCATTAAAATCGTGTGCATCAAATCGCCTATAAAAGTCATTAAATTCATGATCTATCTCTCCCATAGCTATCTCTCTCATAAGTAGCCATAGCAGCTCCAGAGCCGGTTCTGATCCAGGGTCAGTTTACTCCAGAGGTGTTCAGCGCATGCGTCTCTACTGATGAGGCTCCAGTGGGCCTGACAGTTATATCTATAGAAAAGTTGAGAGATTGAGGGAGCCAATAGAAAAAAGGCTAAATATAATTGATTATATACATTATAAATGCATATATTTGAAAAGAAATTTCTCACAAATGTCAGAAACGGTTCCGTAGATCATTAATCAGGTCAGATAGGTGGAGGGTTTAAAAGCTGAAGTGTGACACTCATATAATTAGTTAATCCATTAATTTATAATGTTTAAGTAAGAACAGTTATAATGTTTTAGCAGTGATGCTTGTTCTCAGTGTTACTTACTGAGCGTGTCTAGTTGCTGTAACCACAGGCATCAGCTTCAGAAGAACTTCATCTGCAGTGTTTTGTGGGACACTAATAGAAAATAAAAAATAAACAAGTTAATTAATAATGCTAGAAAAAATCTAGTCACATTAGCACATTAGGGAAGCAGCACACACACTGCATTCATCCTCGTCTCTTTCACACACACACACACACACACACACAAACACCCGCAAATTATGGACAATATCCCAGAAATCAGTCTGAGCCCGTGATTTAAACACCTCTGATCTCTGAGTTTCTCTTTCTTCATAATGTTTTAGACTGTAATGATTGCACTCAGTGTTACTTACCCATCATTACTGAATCCAATTAAGCTCCTCAGGTCAAACTCCTGCAGTGTCTTCTCTGAGGACAACACAAACACTAAAGCTGACCACTGAGACGAGGAGAGTTTCACAGCAAGTAATCCTCCACGGCTTGTATGACGTTTAGCTTTGTTCACTAGAGAAAGATCCCCCAGTTCATTCAGACAGTGAAACAGATTGATGTATTTCTCTGGAGAGGGATTCTCACTGATCTTCTCTTTAATATAGTCAACTGTTTCCTCATTGTTGTGAGAGCTGTTTGCTGTCTGTGTCTTTAGTTCTTGTAAGAGACTCTGATTAGACTCCACTGACAGACCCAGAAGGAAACGAAGGAAAAGGTCCAGATGCCCATTTCTACTGTGTAAAGCCTCATCCACAGCTCTCTGATGGAGATCAGATAGGGACACTTTGCCTCCATTAGTTGGTTTGGTAATCTGGTCAAACACATTGATGTTATTGTTGATAAAGGAGAGATGCACATATAGAGCTGCTAGATGTTCCTGAATGCTCAGATGAACAAAGCAGAAGACTTTCCCCAGACACAAGCCCAACTCCTGTCTGAAGATCTGAGTGCACAATCCTGAGTAAACTGATGCTTCTGCCACATCAATGCCACACTCGCTCAGGTCTTCCTCATAGAAGATCAGGTGGCCTTTCACAAGCTGCCGATACGCCAGTTCCCCCAGTTTGACGATCATGTCTTCATCTTTCACTTTCTTCTCATAGTCCTTCTCATGTTTGATGTTGGTCTGAATGAGCAGGAAGTGTGTGTACATTTGAGTGAGAGTCTTGGGAATCTCTCGTCTCTCTGCTTCACTGCACATCTCCTCTAGAACAGTGGCTGAGATCCAGCAGAACACTGGGATGTGGCACATAATAAAGAGGCTCCTTGAGGACTTCAGGTGTGAGATAATTCTTTTAGCCAATCTCTTTTTACGAATCCTCTTCCTGAAGTATTCCTGCTTCTGTGCGTCACTGAAGCCTCGTACCTCTGTCACTCGATGGACACACTCAGAGGGGACGAGATCCGCTGCTGCTGGTCTGGAGGTGATCCAGATGAGAGACGAGGGAAGCAGATTCCCCACAATGAGGTTCGTCAGCAGCTCGTCCACTGAGGCTGATTCAGTCACATCACACAACCTCACATCGCTCTGAAAATCCAGAGACAGACGACACTCATCCAGACCATCAAAGATGAACAGCACTTTATACTCATCACTGGATATGGCCATTTCTCTGCTTTCAGGGAAGAAGCGATGAAGAAGATCTGAAAGACTGAGTGTTTTGTCCTTCATCAAGTTGAGCTCTCTGAAAGCCAGTGGAAATATGAGCTGGACGTCCTGATTCTCTTTCCCTTCAGCCCAGTCCAGGATGAGCTTCTGCACAGAGACTGTTTTTCCAATGCCAGCGACTCCCTTTGTCAGCACAGTTCTGATGGGTTTGTCTTGTCCAGGTAAAGGTCTAAAGATGTCACTGCATTTGATCGGTGTGTCCTCTGTTTCTGCTCTCCTGGACTGTGTCTCAATCTGTCTCACCTCATGCTCATTATTGATCTCTCCACTTCCACTCTCTGTGATGTAGAGCTCTGTGTAGATCTCATTCAGGAGTGTTGGCTTTCCCTGCTTTGATATTCCCTCACACACACACTCAAACTTCTGTCTCAGATTTGATCTCAGTGTGTTGAGGACTTCAGCAGCTTTAGAGTCATGGCTGGAAGATTACAATAACACATTATTACACAAGTCAGAGGAGTAAATAACCATAAATTACAACGACAGTCCTGCATTTTACCTGAAACCAGGACACATGCGTTCATGAAAGTCTTGTGGTTGAATCACAGGCATGAACACAGTTTTGTTTTTAACTGGTCTGGATGGAAGATTTGACCTTAAATCAGAATGAAGAGGGTAAAGAATCAGACACACTGATATTGATGTAATTGTGTCATTAACTGAGTAACACACCAACAGCTTTTACAGTGTGTGAATGTATTAACAATACAATACATAGAGCTTTACACAAGAGCACAATCATCATCATTAATAAACTCAAACTAACAGGATTTCAACTCATTAAACTGCTGTATATTAAAGCCCCATTCTGTTATTTTTGAAAGGTTGCTCTCGGGTCCCCCTGCAGTTGGGAAACAGTATTGTCTTCTGTGGTAAAATCTGTCATGGTTACACTAGGGAATACACGTGTGTGTTTGTTGACAAGCGATCCCGAACTCTGCAGAAGGAAGGAGTTGTCAGATCTTGGGCAGACTCCAGTGTTGCGTGTGAAATGTCTTCATCACAGGTACAGTGGCATCTATTTCTGCATGTCTTATGGGCTTTATTTTTTTTTCAAACGTCAAAAGATCGCGTAGCTCACGTTTACAAGCCAGCGTCTTTATAGTAATGCTAGCCTATTGGCTTCTGTTTTACATAATGGATATGCTAATTCAATTCAATGTTTGTTGGTAGATAATAGCCATGTCGTCAATATTATAATATCAAGCTATCATAGACGAATCTGCAAATTAGAAAATCGTCAGGCTATGGCAGACCTGTCAATCAACCTACTGTAAGTCGATGTACCATCTCAAGGGTTTTGGAAAAATATTATTAAGGTTGAAAAAAACTACAGAGTGCTGCTTTAACAATTTCATAAAAATCAAATACTATAAGCACATCTTTTATATAAATGATATACCTGAGATCAGGCCGTGTGTCTCCACTCTTGAAGTTTATTGGCTGATCCATAGAGGCGTCACTCTTCACAGACACACAGCTGGACTCTGGTTTTTGTCTCTTCTGCTGGACTGAACTGGGTTCAAAACTAAGTAAAATAAAAAGCAGACAGACTTATAAATGTTGTGCACCTTTAGGAAACACCAGGGAGTGTTGTAACACTTTTGGTTTAGCGTCTGTAACTCAGTGTGTTTTGTACTGTCAATCTTTGGTTATATTTATTTTTAGGAATTAACTTACTGGTTTGCAAGTGTTAAGCATGATTAAATATCAATCAAAGTAACTGAAAAAAAAATGTAAAATTAGAAATGATAAATTCAAAACAAACACATTGAAACCAACTATATAATTATAGATGAATTTAACATCAACCGACGAGATCACATGACTCTTGTGAACGGCCCAATGGAGGACAAAGACTCAGCGACTAAAGAGACCAATGTGTTGCTGAGCTTTAAAGATAAACCAGCTTACTGTACTCTAGTAACGGTATCTTGCTGTGAAACATCACTGCTCTGACCAGACACTGTGAAGCTCTCAACAAATCTGAACCAGCGCTTACTAACATCTTACACCGACTCCATTTGGATGTGGAAAAGGCGTCCCGTCATGACGGTATCTGACATATTTGATGTTATATGTTCTGTTTTATATATATTATATATATATAGAGATATATATTTTTACAGATTTATGCCGTCGTACCGTGACTGGGGACACAGCATTGCTGCTGGAGCAATGTTTGCTGGGATTATATAGTTTACATTTACTTGATGTCATTGCAAGTAATAAACTGACTGACTGATGGATGTAGCTTCTAATTCAAAAATGTCAAACAAGCAACACTTTTATAGAAATGATGGTGGTAACTTTCTCAGTTTGTGTAAATATACTTGAGGTTCAAAGTATTTATTTTTTACCAAATTCATTTCACATGTCTAGTAAAATTATGTGGTTTCGTTTCATTAATAAAGTGAGTACTTTTTTCTTAATTCACCCCAAAAGAATGGAAGTGAAATGTGCCAAACATGCCCCATAGACACTGTAGTACAACCATATGAGAGATTCAAATGTTATCTGATCTATGTAAAACAAACAAAAATATTTTGTCAATAAAATACAATTATTATCTTTTTGGCATTTTTTAATAATTAAAAATAAACATTTCCTGAACATTAACTCATTGTCATTATTCAGCTTTTTCATGGTTTTAGCTTTTTCTCAATAGATTTCATAAAAGTTGTTAATGTGAATTAGCGGTATATCGCTAACATCATAGAATATGTGATGCGATCTTGGAAAACCCACCACATAGTGACATTTGACATATTACAGGTTTTTATACAACAGTTAGTTTGAATCCTTGATTCTGATTGGTCAAGAGCTGTGCTTTATTCACGATAAAACACGTCTATGACCGCTTCAACGGTTCTATTGATCGCTGCGCAACACTGCGGTTCTATGCTGTTTTATTTGAGTTTTCATGCACTTTACACATTGGAGCGTTGTTGCTGTTCACGCTCAGGGACTATTTTTTCTAGTGGAAGGAAGGCTTTTAGTGATTTTACCTCAAGAAAGTTGCACTAATACATTGTTTTTTACTTTAATATTGTGTGGCAACCATTTATAAAAGCAATAAGGTACAAGAGGCTGTGCTGTATCGTGAATAAGTAACGGCTGAAGGGGTTACTCCGCTTCGCGTCATGCCCAACAACGCCCTTCAGCCGTAACTTATTCACGATACAGCACAGCCTCTCGTACCTGAGATCCCATTTACACCTGGTATTAAAATGCGATCTGTATCCAGATAAGTTACCCGGATAATAAGTGTTCTGATTAGGGCTGCACGTTTTCAAGTTTTTCATTAACCGTTAACCGAGGCCCTTATCGGTTAATACTCGTTTAACCATGTGCGCGCCGCAACCTCGAGATACAGAGTTAATTTTTAACACCTTTTTAATAACTGGTTGGACCCCATTTGAAACGAAATTAATTTATAGAAATAAAACGCAGTGGTAAGTACAGAGCAGTTAAAGTAGGTGCGTTTCCATCACCCTTCAAAATGAAATTGCCAATTGAAAATAAGCACATTAACTCCGTGTCCGCAAATAATAATAATAATCATCATTATTGTAACATTTTATTAGGCTGCATATTATGTAGAAGACGCCTTTATCCAAAAAAAGGAACAAAGCACAAATAAACACAATATTTTTGACGCATATCCAGTGTGTGTGAAGCGCGCATTGATGGCTGCGAGACGCCCATGTGAACACTTGCAGTTCTTTCAGTGGAAACAAACAACTTAAAATACTCTTTCATTTCTGGTCATACAGAAAATAATAATGCATTATTCGCAAATACATTTATTTGCGTAAACTCACAATAACAAAAAAACGTTGTTCTTTAACATTCAGGCGCGCTTCATGATCTCCGGGAACTGAAGTGCGAGAACTGAAACAGCCACCGCATTCGAATTTGTTCGTTTTAAATTGGACATGTAAAGCTTTAGTCTAGGCTAAAGCTTTAAAAGTCCAATTTAAAACGAACAAATTGTAATCGAAGGCCAATATCTTCTGACTATGTAATTATGTAGCTAATTAATTTCTCTCTAAATGTGCATCCGGAGATGGAGAATTGTTTTTAGCCGAAAATGATTTAGAAAACAATAGTTTATTAATAAATAATTAATGCCTCGTTATTTTATATTATTTTATTATCAGACACATTTATTATAGCCTATATAAATCACTTATAAATCCCATTTCTGCAGGCTGTTACGGCTCTTCTCATTCAGCATTGCGGGGGAAAATATCATTTCCAGGTTCTAATTTGGCCTCAGAAAACCAGTAAAATCTTTTTTTTTTTCATATTAATTTGTCAAATATTTCAAATGTTTAAGGGGCAAATTTGTCGATATGTAGCCTATATATAGCCTATATATTTTTGCGCAGCATTTGGTGTATAAGCCTACAGTTCAAATGAACATTTTGGTGTTCAACTTTGCTATTTACAAAATACAACAACCGTTCATTTTTCATTTTGCAATTAGGCCAACGGATTAAATAAGGGGAAACGAATGAACACAAAAGTAGACCGTTTGGACATAATACGAGGCAGAGTTCTTTTTTAAAATTCATAAAAGATACAAGGAATAGCCTACTAGACAAAACCTCAAAGAAATGCCACAATCAAGACCGCGGAGCAGAAATGAGGGAGAAACACACAGAAACTCTGTGACTTTCCCTGCAATTAATGATTGGATGACACACCACGTCTCCTTCCATAAATAATAATAATGTCTGTCTAGTGCGGTGGCTGTGATATACCAACGTCCGTTGCCATCATTTTTGGAATAGCTTATCGACAATCAGAAAAGAAAAAAAAACGCAAACGTTTTGTGCAAATATGTATTGACGCCACTTAACCGAGCAAAAAGGTTTCACTCGGTTATGGAATTTTAAACGGTTAATCGGTTAACCGGTTAACCATGGACACCCCTAGTTCTGATCTTACCGATTCCATTTACACCTGGCCACATAAATGTGTTTTTGCAAAACGGATATAAATCCGATCTTCAACTCCCGCGTTATATGCAGATTTAATGGTTTGCACGCCACCAAAAGCAACAGATATGAGATGCATTTTATTGATCATCAGCTAATTTCCAAATCAAAGACAGCAATAAGAGAGAGTGGCGACAGCGCTGGTAAGATCATTTCGTTTCTTTACTTGAAGATGATTGTGTGTTAAGCGTCTGTGACTTACTTTCACTTTTGCGATGTTTGCACATTGGCTTGATGAATAGGGTTGGGCCGATGGACGATGATGGCTGACAGACATCACGTTGTTTAGATGGCATCGGCTAAACATCGCCCCCCCTTTTCCATGGTGACGCGTTATGCTTGGTTGGCACGTGATTCACCACAGCCAAAATAGCGCTCTATTGCTGATTTAGCGCTTTTATTTCTAAATATTAACTTGCTTACCATTTCATGATGCTTACCATTCTCATATTCCGATTCTCAAATGTGTAAGTGAGCTTGTTTTGTCATTTAAAAAAAAGATCTTTATCTGTAATGAGAGATGGACGCCGTGTTTGGGCCGCAGTTCAGATATTTCTGTCTGTTGGATTTATTACAGTGCGGGAATTCATCAGTTTCTCCCGAAATACATGAAAGTAAATGGCCGAGAAAAATAGATTACTATGTAAAAAAGATTACATAGTATCTATCTGATATGACTAAAAACCGTCGTCAATTATTTGAATGGGTTGTTATTTCTGCTTCCATAGACAGCATTGTGTATTTTACAAACTAAAAATGTATTGTTTTGCTATAATATATTATATATATTTAAATGTCTGAAACCTAAAATAAATATTATGTGGTTAAAAACACTGAACAGTTGTGATATAGTCTATGACAAGCGCTGCACGCGTCCGTCTTTGGCTCAGCGCCAGCCATAGCACAAGCACGCAGTTTGAATCTGGCAGTAATGTCCCTGTACATTCGCTCCAAAGACTCGCTCTGTGCTCAGCTGCTGTAGAGTGTGCCGAATTCGACATTGCTGATAAGATATAGAGGAAAATATGTAGTGGAAATTGAGAATATTACGAAAATATCATTGTTCTTTAAAGTCAGACTCTACAATGTGTGTGTGTGTGTGTGTGTGTGAACCCCGTGAACGTGAAGCGTATAACGCGTGTGAATTACAACAATAATGAAGTTAGCGCCACCCGCAGCTTAGCAGTAGGTTGCACGCACATGTCGGAGCAGATGCTGAAAATAGACAGACGGCAAAATAAACGCATTAATCGATTCTCTTGCGGACGCATCGATGCATTGAATCGTCGGCTGTATAATCGATGCATCGATGCAAATCGATTAATATTTACACCCCTAGTAGATAATAGCCATGTCGTCAATATTATAATATGAAGCTACCATAGATGAATCCGCAAATTAGAAAAATCAATTTCCATTATAGCCTGAGGCAAGACACTTTAACCAGAAAAATAAGTAACAAACATGACTATCAGCCTGCAGACATAGGAAAGTTATCCTGACCGATTGTTTTGTCCGTCTAATCATGTATTATTTACTTGCAAGAATGCAGCCCCTACCAAACTCAGTAATCAGTGTACTTTCACGTCTGGAGCTGGCGTGAGCTGCCCGCCCCGGCTCTACGGGGATGCTCAGTGGCGCTTCTACTTTGAATTACACCCAGGGCGAGAACACCTTCGAGCGTAAAAAGCCTAATACACAATGAAATCAATTCACCAAGTTAATAACATTTAAAATTTTGTTTTAAAGGAGTGTCTTTTACCTTACCTAAACTTAAAAAAAGGTTAACTGCGCTCTCTACAACGACAGAGAAGTTTTAATAGTGAATGTATTTCCACCACAGAAAAACGCTTGCTGTAGCTCTGCTAAAAGATTTATTTACGGAGAAGAGAAAAACACCAAAGTGTTTGGGTGCACGTGCTGAAAAGTTTGAGCGCGCTTCCCGAGAGCGCATAATGAGCTTCCCGTGCGTGCGCCTATTTGAAATAATGACCTCGAGCGCGCAAAAGACGCGATACGTGAACTAATCAGGAGACCCTCTTGACATCGCTTCTGTGAACGGCTCCTTCTCAGCAAGCAGGGGCGCCATTCCCAATAAATTAATCGAAATGATAAAAAATAGAAAACCTTCGCTGCACAGATTCATTTAACTACTCATGCCGCCCCCCCAGAAATAAAGGTGGAGAAAACCTCAGCTTACATTTACTTGATGTCATTGCTAGTGTTAGACTGACTGAGATCAATTATGAGTCTAATTCAGAAGTGTCACTATAAGCACATCTTTTATAGAAATGATATACCTGAGATTAGGCCGTTTGTCTCCACTCTTAAAATATATTGGGCGATCCATAGACCAGTCACTCTTCACAGACACACAGCTGGACTCTGGGTTTGAGCTCTTCTGCTGGACTGAACTGGAACAGAGAACAGATTCAGTTTAATCCTCTACATTACTGTGTTCATTCTTTATGAGAGGAACCATATTAATATAAACACATTCATCTTTCATTTTAAAGCACTTTGAGGAACCTTATGATCTTTTTATTTAATATTTCATGTCAGTTTCAAAACAAAAACACATGCAAAAATAGGCAAAAACATATATATTTTTCTGTAAACTTGTGCAGGGGGGTCAAAAACTGATATTTTTCTGTCATGTGAGACAATATTTAACAGTGTTAGTTGAAAGTACCTGCGTCCTGGAGAGAAATCTCCATCTCTGGATGATTGTGAATCAGCCATGATGAAGATCAGGAGAATCTGATGAGTTTGATCTCCTCCACTGACTCTGATAAAGAAACATTCACACACAATATTAAATGATTAAATTAAACAACCTTCATAATTTAGCTGCACATATCTGGAGTGTGTGAGAAAAGGGATCGTAACTTCGTTAACTCACGCTCATTGGGCCTTTACACACACACACACACACACACACACACACACACACACACACACACACGTCGGCCGTTTGATTTAGAATTCATGGAAATAACGGACACCGGAAACGCTGAACATGTTCGGGTGAAAGAAAACAAACCCCGACCCGCATCGACAGACTCTGATCCGGTGTTTAAAACGCGTGTGTCTGAGATGGGTGATTTGGCCTATGAATGTTTCCACATAAGCTAATGAATATTTACACATATAAACTTCTGAAGAATCCCAAACATTACCAAACACAAAAGAAACCTTGAAGTGAAAGAAACCCTTTAAAGATTTTTAGCAAATCAACAAACAATCACGTAATGTCGTCCTGAGATAATAGGCTTGTTTGAGATGAGCAAATTCTGCGCAGAATCGATCACCGGTGATCAGCGCGAGATGCATGCCGGTTAGAAATGTGTCCGAGAACGGTCCGTCTGGCTCTGATGTCATGCCGACGTATGTCAAAAAACTCTCGCGAGCGCAAGGCGGAAGGGTCGGATTCTGCAGTCGCGCGCAGTTGCTCTCCACCGACTGCGCTGATCAAAAGCATGATGGGAAACGACTTGCTGACGACACAGCTTAATGCTCATTGGTTTAAACAACAGTGATGAAGGTAAATTCCATATTCATTAAGCTAAATTCTCCAAATCAAGGCCATGTTTTATTTATTTATTTTTTTTCAAATTGAAACTGATCTATATTGTGAATCTCTTAAACGGGTTAAAAATAAGAAAGCTATAGTCAGTAACTCAAATATACTAGGCCTACTCTAAAATGTTCAAGTGAAAAATAGCTCTCATTTTATAGATGATGAAGTTTGTAAGTCTGTCTATTTAAGCTAAGCTTATTTTGATTGATTTATTTATTTTATTAGCCTATTAATTTTATTCTGATGTTTATGTATTTGTCGCTGTATAATAGGCCTATTTGTTTCACGAATTGTGGTGCTTGTAGGTAGGCTATGTTTGTAACTTGCATTCTAATAAAAAAGTAAAATAAATAAAAATAAAAGAACACCAGATGAATTGTTCTCTTTTAAAATGTTTGATTTTAAAACTGATATCATGTTTTATGTGTATACATAGGCTATGGGTGAATAAACTATCTGACAGTGCCATATGGGTTATATTTCATTTTTGTTAAAACAATAGGCTATATAAAAACACGTCTGTATTAAAGAAAAAAAAAGATTGATAACCAGGCTATTTGGAATGTAATTAAATAAGTAGTTTGGGTTTTATTTACATTTTATTTATTTTTATATAAAAGCAACAGAACTCACATCCAGTTTATTAGCAACACGTGCACGAGCGTGAATCCCGTTAATCCCGCGATATCCGCCTTTGATCTCACAGGTGTCTGATTCACTAGGCTTGTTTGAGATGCGCCTCGCCTCGCCTGCAATGTAGTCGAGAGTAGGCGGCTGCAGTAAGAGGAGGAGTGAAAAAAGCGCAATCAAGCCGGACAAATCTCGGTTCTCGCAGTGGGTCTGACACCTGTGAGATCAAAGACTGATATCGCGGGATTCATGGGATTCACGCTCGTGCACGTGTTGCTAATAAACTGGATGTAATTTTAAGTTCTGTTGCTTTTATATGAAAATAAATATAACGAACAAGACACTAAAAATACTTGTTATTTAATTACATTCAAAATATGTGTTTATCAATATTTTTTTCTTTAATACAGACATGTGTTTTTATATATTTTAATAAAAATATCATGTGCATAAAAATATCATATGTGACATCACATTATAGCCTAAGCCATATGGCACTGTCAGAGAGTTTATTCACCCATAACAAATATATAAAACATGATATCAGAGTTTTAAAATCAAACATGTTAAAAGAGAAAAATACATCACGGTTGTTTAAACCAATGAGCATTAAGCTGTGTCGTCAGCAAGTCGTTTCCCATCATGCTTTTGATCAGCGCAGTCGGTGGAGAGCAACTGCGCGCGACTGCAGAATCCGACAGGTGCGCCTTGCGCTCGCGAGAGTTTTTTGACATACGTCGGCATGACATCAGAGCCAGGCGGACCGTTCTCGGACACATTTCTAACCGGCATGCATCTCGCGCTGATCACCGGTGATCGATTCTGCGCAGATTTTGCTCATCTCAAACAAGCCTACTGCGAGAACCCTAGATCTGTCCGGCTTGATTGCGCTTTTTTCACTCCTCCCCTCACTGCAGCCGCCTACTCTCGACTACATTGCAGGCGAGGCGAGGCGCATCTCAAACAAGCCTAAGATGACGAAGTCATGAACACTCACCTTGATCAAACTTTTACAAAATACAGGATCTCAAATCGTCCAACTTTAACATTATAAAGATACAAGTAAATTAATTCTTAAGCGTTGATAAACACTTTGATGCTCTGTTTTTTTTTTCGTGTCGTATGTCGTATTTTTCCACCTCAAAATGGCGACCGGAAAACTAACTTTCACTTTCGTATGTGTGACGAGAGAGAAGGTGCGTTTCATTCGACAGGGTCCCTACGCAGTGTTCACTGCTCCCTACTCCCTGAACACGGTATATCAGTTGAAGTGGACTTCACTGACTTCCTGTGAAGTGATGTAGCGATGTTCCCTTATTCTCTATGCCGTTTGCAGTGCCCTTCGAACTGAACATGTTCGTTCCCTTCGAATTGGAATCTCACTTAAGATGGCGAAATACCCTGTAAAGTCCACTTCGCAGTCCACTTACGGTCGAATGGAACGCACCTAGAGAGAGAGGGAGAGACGCGCGTTCACGAGAGCACCACGGCGCATGCGTGGGAGAGCAGACTTGTTGCGTAAACGTGCGTTGGATATTAACATTTTATAAATTAAGTGGTACAGTTTTGCGCAAAGCATTCACGTAACAATTTACAGATTTTTTTTTATCCGTGTTACTTTTTATTTTTTAATTCTTTTTCGTTTTTCTCTCTCTTCTCTTTAGTTTGTTAATTTACTATTTTAGTTATTTGTTTGTTCATCATTTTTTATTCATTATTTGTTTTGTTTATTCTTTTGGTTCTCTTTTTATTTGTTCATTCTTGCCTTCATTTGTTCAATTTTGTCTTTCATATTTCTGCAAACTCAGAGTTCCTGATAGTAAATCATAAAGAGGACTTTGTTTGATCACATCTGTATGATATGAAATAAGTTTGTCATCATCCAATCATGTTAATAATTATATTTAGTCATTTAGCAGATGATTTTGTATTAACCTTTAAGATGATCTACAAATGCAATGTGACATAAATCTGAAAGAATCCGATCAATTATGTAAAAATACTGTATTGTAAACTTTATAACAGTTTAATGGTTGGTTTAACTCATTTCACTTCCGTTGCAGAGATCATTAGTTATTGGCTGAATATGGCGGCCGCTGGCGTTGAACTGGAGTGTGTGGGCCAGTTCTTCCGGTGAACACTTCCGTGATCTGACAGCGAGAGCGGGAGACGACAGCGACGACTTCATTACCACAGAGATCATTTTTCAGCCATGAATTAAACATCTATCTCGCTTCTTAAAAACCATTCTTTGTGTTATTGTCATCTTTACATTAGCTTTGGGTTTTTACTGACTTGAAATGAAAATGAAAACGCACCAGAGATGACATTAGCACATGTAGAGTTGAATAAGGAAATATTAAACAACACTTATTGAATGATCAATATCATCAATCCACACAGCTTTTACACTCGGCTGTCGACAGTCGATCACACAACCTGACGAGAAATAATCTTGATCAAGGCCGTTGGTGAGCGGTTGAGTTACTTTTGTAAATGTTTTATTTATTTTTTAAATTGAATTTTCAAAAGTATAGAATTCAATATCAGGTTCTTGACACATTTCTTTTACACATCTTCACATTTGGTAAGTATAACTTGAAACAACTAAAAAAAAAATTGCATCACAAACATGTTAAATTACATTTCAGACAGAGAAATAATTCTAAGATTTGAAATTCTGTCCAAAATAAGTTCAGATAATGGGTCAGCGGTCCTTCCAGCAATATTGAAGATTCACATTAATTCTATACAAACAAAGAAGGTTAATAATAAGTAAGTTATAATGTTGTATGTTTGAAATGGTTGATATAAACACTTTTAGATTGATAGATTTATTTGGATCCAGAAAAAGAAATGTCCGTCTCAGTGGCGTCACAGACCTCCTCAGGGGCGAGGGACCAAAAAGGCCAATAAACATTGTTTTGTTTTTCTTTTTATTCTTTCTTTCCTTCTAAGAAAATATGTTGATACAATTATAATGCAGAACACATCAAATGAAAATAGGGAGTGATGATAATATTACTAAATATGATTTACAGTGAGAATCAAGAAGGTCATTATGGGAAATTCATTTTTAGTTTTGTTGATGTTGTAAATGTAATGTATGTATTATATGTGTGAAAGTGTTAGATATCATGAATCAGTAACACTTTACAATAAGATTTCATTAGTTAAACTAGTTAACATTAACTAATCATGAACTGCACTTCTACAGCATTTATTAATCTTAGTTAATATTAATTTCAGCAAACAGCTGCCCATTTATTTTGTGAATACATTTAGGGTTGATTTAAGTTGTTATATTTTAAACCCTAATGTGACCAACAGTGTTATTCTTATAAAATATTTTTTTTATTAAGAAACCCCAAAATCATCATCTCTTGATTGTGTTGTTAATTTCTTTATTTTATACCCAAAAAGTTTCTCCTTTAAGTTTTCCTCTTTTTCTTCATGAATTTACCTCGTTTCATCCCTCAGATATAACAACAACTTTTTTTATGTATTATGAAGAACTATAATGAAGATATTTTTATATAAATAATTTTATATTTTTATTGTTCTTTTTTCCTGTGTAGGCTATAAATATAATTTTATGTCATATTATGATGTACACAGACGTGAATTATAGAAATGTGATGTGTATACCCGGTTAAAGAGAAGTGTTTTTAGTCTAGATTTAACCTGACAGAGAAAAAGTGTGTCTGCTTCTCTAATGTTAGAAAGACTCACTGCTCCATTCTTCGATTTTGATATTTGTATTAGGCCTATCAACTAGCCGGAATTTTCAGATCACAATAGACATGAATACTCAGCTCTCTCAATACTGAGAAGCTAAACCATTTTAGTGCTTTGTAAATAATCAGCAGTACTTAAAAACGCATACAATGTTTACTAGAAAGCCAAAGCAGTGTTGACAGAACCGGGGTTAGCCTATAGACCATTTCACAAGATGTAAACAACACTGGCCCAGAAGCACTTCCTGTTTCAGTTTTTTAACTGATATATAAATAAATATAAATATTAATATTATAATAAATTTAAATATTCTTCCTGGTTCTGGTAAGAAGTCAAGCTGCTGCATTATGTACCAGCTGTAGTTTATTAAGCGTGCAGGCCATGGTAACCACCCAGTGGAGCATTACAATAATCTAGCCTTGATGTCATGAATGCGTTCATGATATCAAGGCTAGATAAACACGGAAACGATTCTGAAGAGAAAACGCAAAAGTGGCGTACTTATCACTTTTTTATTCTGCGTTTAGAAGAGCGTTTTGTGTTTGTGTGGGAAATCCGCGTGCAAATGGTGATCATGATCTAGACTAGAGAGAGCCGAGGTTACGTTAGGTAACCAATTCGTTATTTCCGGGTTCTGGACTGGCTGCAGTAACGCGTCTCTGTCCATGCGGGGGCGCTCGCGGTCGAGTGCAGAATGAATGGGAGTCAATGGGGTTTCACCTCCAGAAATCCACTTTTCTCAGGATGTCATTGCATTCAAAAGGGAGGGCTAAGAAAATACACTCAGCTGAAAATTGCATTTTTAAGTTCACTTATCGGTTCTAAAAATCCGTTCAAAACTGTGATGACGTCACACAATAGCAGACTGCTAGCGTGTTCCGGCCAACAACGGCCTAACCTGTAAGAAATCAAAAGGACATAAGTACTCGTTCATTCGACTTTTGGCCTATAATCTATATTGAACTTGCGGAATCAACAATAAAATCTATTTTGATTTAACGACAAGCAGGTGAAAGACACATTTAGCCGTTTAGCCCCATAGACTCCCATTCATTCTGCACTCGCCCGCGATCACCTCCAGTGGAATTCTAATGGAACTGCAACCAAGGTGATTCACAACGGGGCTAATAGGAAGTGCCAAGGCTCTCTGTTAGACGGGCTCTGGTAGTATGCACTTCAGGCGGCTAGGGGCGCATACTACAACACCAAGTCCACGCGCCTGCGTATAACCTTCCCTGTCAAGCGGACTTTTGCGTTTTTACCGTTTACACGGGAACGCGGTGGAAACTGACATGGAGCGTTTTTACGATTTCCAGTCTGGAGGGTGGTTTCACTTTTTTGAGCCTCAAAAACGCCGTGTAAACGAAAGGCACATCCATCCGATAAAATATGTTTACATTTTCACCCGCGAGCGTTCTCGTGTAAACGGGGCCTCATTCAGACATAATTCCACACATAAACCTCAACTCCACACTTTAGACCCCAAAATCAACAATCTAGGGCCATAAATGAAGAGAGCTTTCAGCCAGTCTGACCTAACTACCGAAACCCCAAGCTAAGTACTTTATGGCAATCCAAGTCTCAAAGAGATGAACCAAGTGGCAGACTTTCCTGCTAAGACAAAAGCTGAGATCAAACCCAGAATTAAACACTTGGCATGAGGAAAAACAAGCTGGGTGTCAAATTGAAGTTCAAGGAAGGCAGGTGCAATACCCAATTTCACAAAAACTACACTGCCTTTAATGCAGATCTTCTCCACTTCAACGGTCATTAGTCAGACACCAGGACTTGAGTCCAAAAATAAATACATGGAGCCTTTCAGTATTTCTCATTTCTAAAAATCTATTTAAAGTCTTTCAAAACTGTTTAACTCATACAAGTAATTGGAAAGCCATTAAGTACACTTTCGCTCCCAAGCTCATGTAGAATAATTTTGAAACAAACAAAAAACGAAACATGTTGGGTTTTTTTACTAGATATTTTTATTTGTTGAGAAGTCCTCAAGTATGGTGTGCAAAAATCAATCTCGGAGGACTCTCTCCGATGACTAAATCAGCACAGGTGGTCGGGCAACACATCATGCATCTGCTTCTTGGCAAAGAGGCGAATGCGGTCCAGAACATCTACCAGGCATCACTGTATGGACACAAATAGTCAGCTTTAGTCTGTGCATTTAGCTTAATTCAATTTAAGAAACAGCACACAATAGGAACAAGTTTTACTTCAAGTATTACAGTATGAAGCGTTATTTCGTAAAGCACAATTTTGAATTGGTGCTATGGGCTGAAATTCAGATACTTTGATAAATGTTTCTTACATTTTATCACTCGACGCAAAATCTAAAGTAAAAACAAGTGCACAAATTAAACGTAGCATGCTGCACATCAGATCATGCGTTGAAAAGTGGCGGCTGAAAACATTCACGGTTTTGAAGCCTCATCTTGAGTTTACGCCACGGAGAAAATGTAACCTGGCCAAAGAAGTTATCTTGAGAGAAATTGATCCTACTCAAATCTGTTAACCTCATAATTGGAAACATTTAACTTATATTTATATTCAATACCGGTGTGTGTAAAACTAAACGTTTACAAACATTAGAAACAATAGCCTATGTCATTTACCCCTCACTCAACAAATCCTTTAAATTTAACAGTATTCAAAACAGGAAAATAAGTAGCCATGAATTATATTACACAAATTAGGCTATGGTGGCTTATATTAAAAATAAATAAATTAAAGTACCACATTGGCGTCCACATCTACTGCTGCAGCATTTGTCTTTGCCCGGACAGTCACTGTCATCGACACATGAATCCATACACACTCCTCCAGGGGGTATGACTGGACACACTCCTAGCTTTGCTATTTGTAAAACAAACAGAGAAACCAGATTAATGAACGCTGAACGGCTCATTCAACGCATGGGTCAGTTTTTAACACAATTACCTTTATATGGAGCCCTACACTGATGTCCACATCCACTGCTGCAGCATTTCTCATCTTTCGGACAATCACTGTCTTGGGAACACGACTCAGAACATTTTCTTTCTACTTCAGGGATTTTGTTCGGACACACTCCGGGCTTTGGTTTATCTGTCAAGTATAACAGTGTCCGTGAATGTTAAAGGACAACCTGTATTAAAATAAAACCTGACCCACACTCTAATATAATAAAAAAAATACCTTTAAATGGAGCTGAACACGTTTGTCCACATCCATTACTGCAGCATTTCTGATCATTCGGACAGTCACGGTCATAGGAACATGAATGGACACACGGTCCAGCCACTCCTGCAGGGATTTTCGGACACCCTCCTGGCTTTGGTTGATCTGTCATGCGTTTGTATAACAGCAGCATATCACTTAACGAGGGACTTGCCAATAAAATAGTCATTTATAATAAAATGCATTAAAGCTGACCCGCCACACAACAATATAATAAAAATAGCACTTTGAAAAAGCAATTAACCAAAGACTGACTCAATTTTTTAAAAATAGACTAGTTGATGTTTAACTTCACAGACAACCTTGCTGGTGAGACATGTGCTGGTGGGCTTTACCATAATTCACACCAAACTATCAGGGGATCTCAATAAGCTATTTATATTATGAAAATTGGGGATATTTAGCAATATAGCTGGTGCATGATGTACATTATGATGAATAAGAAGGCTTTCTCCACTGACACGAGTTGTTCACCTTTATATGGAGCTGTACACTGATGTCCACATCCATTGCTGCAGCACTTCTTATCGTTTGGACATTGACGGTCATGGGAACACTCCTCGACACACAGTCCTGCCGCTCTCACTGAACTGATGTCACTTGGACACTCCCCAGGCTTTGGTTCCCCTGTTGAATAAACCGCATATCCGTGAGCAGCGTTGGGCAAGTTACTTGGAAAAAGTAATTAGTTACTGATTACTTCTCCAAGAAAGTAATCCAATTACTTATTTTCAAAAGTAATTAGTTACTTTACCTAGTTACTGATGCACGACCTAAATGCGCTAAAGCATAGACCTTTCAGCCTTTTCTTTCTGCATATTCAATCATCTAAAATGTAATCAAATTAAATACTCTTTTTTTTAAACTTGTTTTATTCGTTTCAATATTTTAACTTTATGCACATTGCATCAAGCAAAAATTAAATTAAATGCAACAGCCTCAGACTAGAAGAAAATTGTTGAACATTTAAACCCATTTTCTGCACATTCCACCATATTTTAATGAAATAAAGACAGTCCTTCCGTTATCTTAAATTTCTACCAGCATATAAAATAAATATGTATTTTGTAAAATCCAAACACATGACCATGCAGTAATGGGCTGAGTCTTAATTTAAGAAGCATGGTGAATTAAATTTCACTAAAATCATATTTTTTTTTTATCAAAAGGTTATGACCATTTTAAAAGTGAATCTTTGAAATGGTGGTGGTGGCACTATACATATACTCCAAATACTACTCATTATCACTATCGGTGCTCCAAATATCATAATTTTCATATGTTCCATTTATAGGGCTGCCATAGACTCCCATTCTAAAGAAATAATATTAATAATAAAGAAAAACGTAAACTACCATGTGCAAAAGGGGCAAGTAGACAATGAACACATCCTGTAACAACTGAGCACTTAGATATGTACCCTGGATCAGTACACACAAAAACAAATAAAATTATCCTTCATAATTGTGTTTTCCCATGTACAACTTTATTAGCTTTTGCTTATAATTTACTCACCCCCATATCATCCAAGATGTCCATGTCTTTCTTTCCTCAGTTGAAAAGAAATTATGGTTTTTGATGAAAACATTCCAGGATTTTCTCCATATAATGGACTTCAATGGGAACCAAACGGTTCAAGGTCCAAAAGACAGTTTCAGTGCAGCCTCAAAGGGCTTTACGCGACACCAGACGATGAATACAGGTCTTATCTAGCAAAACAATCGTTCATTTCAAAAATAAATTATAAAAGAGTTTAAGTTTAAGCATTTTGCTAGATAAGACCCTTATTCATCGTCTGGTGTCGCGTAAAGCCCTTTGAAGCAATGAAACTGTCATCATTGGACCTTGAGCCGTTTGGTGCCCAATGAAATCCATTATATGGAGAAAATCCTGAAATGTTTTCAACAAAAACATTAATTTCTTTTCGACTGAAGAAAGAAAGACGTAGACATCTTAGATGACATGGGTACAAGTAAATTATCAGCAAAAGTTTTTTTTTAAAGTGAACTACTCCTTTAAAGTTTATTTAGAACTACAACATACAAAATGGAACTTTCACAGGACGTCTGTTGCCTACTGTAGGCATACTTATATAAACTAATGTTCTACGATGTGCAAAGCCATATTTTGTTCAGGTTGTTTATATATTTCTTCGCGCTGTCACGAAGTTAAAAGAACTCACCCGTGTTTCGATCATCGTCGTTTCTTACTGTCGCGCATACACAGGGACACAATAAAAGCGCGAGCAACGAGCAGTAAAGTCGAGCTGTCATCTTGAGGCCTGTGATCACACAATGGACTCTGCTGGAAACGCTCTGAACAAGACAGGTTTTTAAAGACACGACTGGCGTTTTATTGGGTCGACTGATTAGCTCGTTCAGGTGTGGTCAAAGCAAAGAAGTAGCCTGCCGTAATTGGGCGTTTCTTCAACTAGGGGAACTTTTGTGAAGTTGAATAAAAAAAGTGTTCAAAAGTGACTCACAGTCTCATATGTTTAATCTAATTTTGTCTAGCTTAAAGACAAACTTAGATTACAAGAGAAATTGTTAATAGGCCCTATTTTATTTTTTTTCCGACTTGCAATGAATGTAATTCATAATTTTCATGCATTCAAATGCATTCCTATTTTCCAATACGGCTGTTATTTTAAAACTGATTAACTTACGCCACTCATGAATTGGTCATTTTTATAACTATTTTTTTCCACAATCTATTGATTTGTCAATGAGATAAATGAACTGCCTAAGGACCAAACTGTCACACTCTGAAATGAAGTCTAATGGTTAAAAAATATTGGTTTGGGCAAGAGCATATTAAAGTAAATAACTTGAATTTGTATATTAAGTAGAGCATAATCTCATAAATTGTTACATTTTTAATGTGTGGTGAGAACTTTTTTAATATATTTTTATAATGTGTGGTGTAAATGACAGGAGGGCGGCGTTGGAAATGACTGGGTGTTGTGGAAATGACAATGAATTATAAATGTATAAAAACAGTAGAGATATTTATTTGAACAACTCATCACACTCATTAAACTCTATTCAGAGTCATTAAACATAACCACTTGTTTTAGAGTCCTGCTTTGATGTATGTTGGATTAATTGTGACAATGCACCCTCAAGTCAAAATAGATACAAATTAAATCAATCAATATTGAAGTAATATAATTTACAAATACAAATAATTTTATATTCCATCCATCTTCTCCCGCTTATCCGGGGCTGGGTCCGAAATTACCGTATAGACAAGAGGGGAAGCTCATTTGCAATTGTGGGGATGTGGAGGCATAAAGTCAAGGAAGGACTTTTAAGACTGAATTTAGGAATTCGAAACTGCAGTAAAACAATAAAAACTCACTAATCTGTAAAAGAGGTCAAAGGGACAGAGGGCACCACACAACTGGCCCAACCTGATATCTTCCCCCCATGTTGTGGTTCTTGACTCTGCACAATATCTTCTCTCCTCCAGGGCTCATTCAGGCATGCAAATCTCACAACCCTCCTGCCTCCAGCGGTGTTATGCAAGGGCAAAATAAATACTTCTGGCGCGAGTGGTAAAATTGTTTAATTCCTGCAGCAGCAGAACAGGCAGAACAAGAAAACAACGCCTGTTCTTCTGTTGTGGGAGATGCCCCAATGAAGATTTGGGTGATAGGTGTTTATAGTTCTTTTGCTTGTGAATCTAAGGTTTTCCCTTTTCATGTTTGGTTTCATTATTATTGTCTCAGTGCGATTGGTAAAATGGTCTTAATTTCATTGCAGTCATCATGGCACAGCTACTAGAAGACGTACAACTGTCAGAACGGTTGCTCACATCACATCTCATCAAGCTCAGTTTGAGCCTGCACACACAGTGAGACCTACCCTCAGGTGCTCTTCGGTCATTTCTGTTTTGAATTTTTAAAAATCACAGCTTCATTGCGATGTTACAAAACTTGGTGACTTTTATGGCATTGGGTATGTGAACACACACACAAAAAAACTGAGGTCATGATCCGAGCAGGCTACAAGTGGTCGTAAAAAAAATAGTCACACTTGTGCTCTTCGGTCCAAAATGACCGACCATGAATGGGAAATTGACAAAAACACAAAAACTTTGAGAATTTTTGTGTGTACAATCTACAAATCGGCCACGATGCAGGAAAAAAGTGCTCAGCATTGAAAGGGTGACACTCATCACTCTTACAAACACACTTTTATACACATACACACCAATAAATTTTGATTACAAAAAGTATGTTTTGAATTTTTAAAAATCACAGCTTCATCGCAATGTTACGAAACTTGGTGATTTTTATGGCATTATGTATGTGAACACATAAAAAAATTGAGGTAATGATCTGAGCATCCTAAGTGGTCTTAAAAAATAGTCACATTTGTGGTCTTTGGTCAAAAATGACCGACCATAGGAAATGAATGGGAAATTGTAAAGAAATGAAAAAAAAGTGAATTTTTGTTTTGTTTTTTGTCAAGTTTTTTTTATAAGAAATAGTTTTTGAGATTGTTTTAACTATATATTCAAATCCACCAACAACAACAACAAACTAAAATACTGCATTAATATTTCTTTTGAAAAAAAAAATATATATATATATATATATAGAAAAATATATATATATTTTTCCATGGCAAAAATAAACCATTAATATTGCATAAATATTAATAAATGCAATTAAATTGTCTCAAAATACTAAATTAAAAAGAATAAATATTATAGAACAAAAATAAATTGCATTGGTTTTACTGGGATGGAGAAAGTTTCATTTTTAGGTGTCCGGTCACTTTTGACCGGGAAGAAAACAAGTGTGAGTCCGAAACGAAGAGCACCTGAGGGTTAAGTACTGTTGTGCCGAATGTTGATTGGAGTTCCACTGGGGCCGATCGCCCGAGTGCAAAATGAATGGGAGTCTATGGAGCTAGACGTCTAAATTTGTCTCTTTCACTCGATTGGCGTTGGGAAATCTCAAATTTGATTGTAGGTTTTTAAAGTTCAACAGATGCCTATAGAAACAACAGTATTTTCATGAGAGCTGGTCAGTGTGTCTCGGAGAGTCCCACAGATGCCGGCCGGCAGCACCACAGTATAGAGATCGCCGTGGAGTGCTCAATGCCATTATTAAAAGTAAATGCATGGCTAAGATGTCATGATGTAAATGCATATGACGCCTAATTTACTGTTTTCTACCCGTTTACGACTGTTTCCTCTTTATTTTGTGTGCAGCTGTGGTGCTTTTGAGTGACGATTCCTCATTTGTCCTTTATCTGTCTATGTTTGGGACTAAGTTATGGTTCAAGTCGAGGTTCTAGTGCTAAAATTATTTTAATCATCATAATATAATAATTACTTCTACAATAGACTAATGCTTTGTTTTAGACAATAAGTATTTCTTTTAAAAAATATCAAAATATTTCTTTTAATTTCACATTTGTCTTGCTGTGGTGGCACACTACTAAACTGCAACTACTAGGCCCACATTCAATGCAACTCTCTCTACATAGACTGTGAAGTCGACATGGACAGAGGCCAGAACATATTAGATATACACTGAAATATACACTGGGGGGGTCATCAGGGCGCCCCCTTGCGAGAGAGAAAACACTTGTCTATTATGCCATTCCAGACTCTGTCTACGAAGCAAAATGAAGTAGCAGAGTCTGGGATTACCAGGCTAGAGTATAGCATATTTTGTGACTAATTTTTCCCGTGTCTTAAAATGTTTTAAATGTTTCATGAAGTATAAATGCGAAATATAAATAGTTTTTTAATCACTCTCATTGCCACAATGTGTTTTGAAAAAAGGAAAGAAATCTTGTCGATTTGGTTGAAGATAATATTTTAACAGGGCAAAAGTGGTCCACGTTTCATGATCCTAATAACGAAGATGTGACGCAAAGTCAAGTGGTTGTTTATGCGAAGTTCTAACTGTTTACAATTAAATAAAGGCAATCAGATATGATTGTATTATTTTACTGTTTTTTCTTGGGTTAAAAATAAATATGTGTTTTATCGTGTTTGTTTTGTCCATATGTGCTACCATGTAGGTCAGCTGCTACAATGAATTTTATTTATTTATTTATTTGCCCCCCGGTGGCTCGAATGTCAAACTCCGCCTATGATCAAAAGATGTTTAAAAATGATTTATTTAAAAAAAAAAGAAAGAAAACCCACATTTGAGGTGGGACGAATAATTGATAAAACAGTACATTGCAATATGGTCAGTGTCTTGCAATGCAGCTTACTTTACTGTATACCAAAACAAGCATTTCGGTTCTTGCAGCTAAGAGTCAGTTTAATCAACTCTATTATGTTCACAGTAAATGTTAAACCCGTGCGAGAGCGATTCAAAAGCATACAGCTGTGTGTTCTCTAATCGTTCTCGATCATCACTTTACATCACACTCATACACACTCAGACTGTAGTGTTGTTTTCTGTCCAGCAGGCGGAGGTATACACACTCATACACACTCATACTGTAGTGTTGTTATTATCGAGCTATACCCGCGCTCGCAGATCGACATCTACGTCAAGGTGTGTGTGTGTGTGTGTCCAGAGTTTGCGCTCATGTTAGCCTCATCTTCCACTGCAAAATCCAAAAGCAAATCCCTTCCTTTGATCCAGTTATTAGTTCAAAAGATGAATGAAGAGGCGACCTTATAAAATTAATAATGTGAGTTTATTACAGTAGTAGATCAATGCTAAATTTTAGTTACATTGTGTGTGTAAATGAACAGGTTTGGACTCTGAAACCCAAAGCACAGACAATAGAGACACCAGAATAACAATATTCATGATTCTGAAATTATATTTATCATATAAATACAGGATTACTTTAGTTGAATATAATTGGGTTCTTTCACTGACTTAATATTTAATATAATATAATAATAACTAATGTAGGACACTTTTTACACATTTCTTCATTGCATTATTATACATTATATTCAACATTATAGCATGCAAAGGCCTCAGTAAAGTGCTGGACGGCGTCGTGCGTCAGCATCTGGAGGAGGTCTCGCTTCTTACCAGCGAGTGAAAACCTCCCGCCAACTCTACAGACTGGAGAATGAAGCCTAACCACAAGAAAGGCTCTGGAAGAAACAGCAGAAAGAATCTCTATAACAAAAAACACAAAAATTTGGTACAATCAATTCTCAGTTTTGGAAGAAATGTAATAAAAAGTTGTTGTTTTTTTTGGTATGTTTCTAAATAGTTCAACTCTATTTTTCTCTGTTGTGTTGTTTTAAGAAATCAAACATTTAGGTAATAATAATTTATTCATAATTAAAACATTTACCGTCTTAACAATGTCGGATTAAAACAGACTAGAGTTCTTCAGCAACAC